ATGGGTTCACACTTGAATTTTACCAAATTTACAAAGAAGAACTCATACCCATGCTTATAGCTCTTACTCGAGGGGGAGGAGGGCATGGACAATATAAGTAACCTAAACACTTGTACCCCCATAATACACTAAAAAAAACCAAAAACTCATACCTATGGTGTTTCCCCGAAAATAAGACCTACTCATAAAATAAGCCCTAGCAGGTTCTAAGCATTTATGCAATATAAGCCCTACCCCGAAAATAAGACCTAGTGATGGGTGTGGCTTTTGCAGCATATCTGCACAACTCATGCATTTTGTCATGGAGTGGTAAAGAAGATGAGCAGCCCTTCTCATCTGCCCCACGAGAGCTCTATTGCTCGACATGAGAGATTGAGGCTAATGGTTCTAAAGGAAATAGATTCGCAAGAAATTTAGGAGGGCATTCGGGGTTTGGAGAGTTATGATAATGTTCCAGAAGAAAACAACTTAACTATTTTTGAATAAATGTAGATTGTTGTACCGTACTTAAAAAAAATAACACATCCCCTGAAAATAAGCCATAGGGTGTCTTCTTGAGGAAAAATAGATATAAGACCCTGTCTTATTTTCGGGGAAACACGGTGTATTGCAAAAATTATTCCATGACATTGAGAAGGATGGAATCCTCCCCAACTCATTCTACAAAGCCAATATCACCTTGAGACCAAAGCCAGGAAAGGGCACAACAAAAAAATGAAAACTACAGACTAATATTCCTCATGAGTATAGATGCAAAAATCCTCAACAAAATCTTAGCAAACCAAATCCAACACATCAAAAAAAAAATTCATCCGAATAATTCATTCAAACTGAATCCAGCACATCAAAAAAATTATTGATCATGACCAGGTGGGCTTTATCCCAGAGATGCAAGGTTGGTTCATTATATGCAAATATATAAATGTAATTCACCACATATATTTCATCAGATTTTTAAGGTATGTTTGCATTTTATTGTGCCCAACCTCTTCCCATGAATTGATTAAAAACAGTGACCTCTAGATAGAAGATCGAGGAGAAAGAAAAGAGTAATGGGCAATGAATCTCTCTCTTTTTTAACAAGTCTACAGGCATTTTGAGAGATTTTTTTGAATTTTTTTGAATAAAGATTGTTGAAAGAAAATATACTTGGAGAAAAAAGTTTTTAAAGGCCTTAACAAAACCCCTGGGGGAAGAAGGCAGGGGAAGCAGTCATGATTATAGAATAAAAAATTTTAAAGAAAATATTAGCAAATAGAATTCAATAATATTTGAAAAGTTTAATAAACCATGACCAGGTGGGATTTATTCTAGGAATCCAACTATGATTCATTATCAGGGAATGTATAAATGTAATTTATTACATCAAGACTATTTGCTAAAGCCAACAGGAAATATTGTTTGTTTAAAAAAACTATAAAAATCATTTCAGTTAAGACTGGGTATCAAATAGTGGTGTCTGTTTTTCCTGGCAGTGAGTAAGAAACTAAAGAAACATTTATTGAGTGAATGCCAGGGGACAAAATCCTGAGTATGAATGAAATAACCTAGGGGAAGTTGAACACATTTTAGAATATTAAAAGAAATGTTGAGCTAGTGGGGGAAAAACAAAACCCCAGTGAAGTGCCATCACTTAAGGGGCAGGTGGAAAAGATTTTTGGTAATATCAAGAAATTTGGTGTTCTATTGCAAAAGTGTTGAAATGTTAATAGAAGTTTTTCTTTACATCTGTCTTCTTTTGAGCCTTGTATATACAACTTATGTGTTCATGCTGTTATATTTCAAGTATCCAATTAAGACTGAATTATGAACTGGCATTTTAAGTGGAATATTAGAAGAATTTTTAAAGTGTTTTAAAAGTATTACAGATGTATATTTTTATTTGTGTATGATTGATAAAATAAATCTGTCTCTGAATTTCACCTTAGTTCTTAATGTAATTATGTGGCCCCGCATGGGTGCATAGTTCTGACGGCACAGTATTGTTTGACAGAATTTGGATTTGAAGGAATAGTAACTGTAATGTTTTAATCTTATGTGTATTGAATGTATGGTTTATAAATTAATATTTAGTGCCTAGTAGCACAGGGTTTAAAAAAAATTGTATTCCAGAGAGCATATTTTACTTTGGTCTTCATTCCCATATGGCTTTTCTACTAGTATGGAATTGTATTTATGTTATTTTATGATGTCAATAACTGTGGAATTTGCTTTAATTTGTGTAGTCTTGAACTATTTATGAAGTGATATTGACCTAAGTGCTCCAGAAATATGTTTTCTTCTTGGCAAGAAATATAATTATAAATTGAAGTTGGAATGATTAATAATGTAGGAGACTTTATAATGTAAGAATGGGAATGGACTATATGTAAACAAATTATATTAATTTAGTATTGATCTTTAAAGCACTTGATTTGTGCCTGCATATCAATCTGACATGTCTGCATTTTCTTCATCTTATTATCTAGGCATACAGAATTCCCTATTTGACCATAACTGTAAGATATGGGTGGGTGTTTGTACAACAGTGGTGGATGACATGGGGATCTGAGCTACTTGCTTATGCAGATTGCTTGTGCTCTGTGGTCTTGCTCATGCTTGATCTTGAATACCACTTTCATCATATATTGTTAGAATTACTGGTGACAGAGTCAGCTCATGATAGAAAACTCTCACCATATGGTTACTTGATTACTCATGGTCAGGTATTCTATCTTTACCACAACCCAGTGGCATAGCAGGAGTAGAGGCGTATAATTTTCCACTGCAGATGATATGGCCCTTGTCATGTATGTGGAGCCTGCATTGTGATTCTTTCATGGTGGCTTGCCATAAATTCCACATGGTACTTTTTACAACAGTGACACCGCCCATAACTATAGTGCCTACCGAGTCATATGGCCCTAGCTATAGGGATGCTTGCAGTATAGACTTGACCTACAGCAGAGCTATTTCCTGCCCTGGCTGGAAAGAATGGGCAGCCTTTGATGTATTCCAGAATATGGGCTGAAACAGTATTCCTAGGAATGGAATATGCTGTCTTCAGAACACAAAGAAGCCTAACAGATAATATGCTTTTTTCTTTGTAATGGTATTTATAAGATGCAATACCTGATCTTTTAATTCAGAAGATGTCTTAGAATGTTCTTGACCACTGAATCTCCAACTGATATGGAAGGCCTCTGGATTTTTATATATTTTATCTTCCACCCTTTGAACCATATTTGTCTTTTCAAGCAATCCATTACATTAATTATTCTTTCTCATTTGGCCCTATTGGCATGATGTTCTTAATGTAGTGGAACAGTGATATAACACATGATATCCAACCAGATCAAATATATTTTGACTATGCTATGACAAAAGAAGGGATAGTTAATATCATTCTCAGGCACAATTGGGAAGGTGTATTATTTTTTATTCCATGTGAATGCAAACTGCTTTTGGACCTTACACAAATTGTTTAACTTCCTGTAGGTCTAATTTTTGACTTCTAACATAGGGTAATACCTGCTCAATCAACTTCACTGGACTCTTATGAAGACCATTTTAAGTTAAGTAGATGAAAGCACTATGCACATGTAATACTTATTTCTTAAATTATCTCTAACATGTAAGATTGGCAGACTATTAATCTTCATGCATACTCCTCTGTAATAATATTTCCTAAAATGTGATCTTCAGAGTATTGATTATTGGGATGCTAATGTGTATTATGTAAAAAGTGCTTCTTTGGACAAAACATTGGGAAAACACTGGGTTAAATAAAGTTAAGTTAGGTTTCTGTACCTTTGTATTCTCTCTTTTTGAGATTATTTAATAATAGGCAAATATACGTTGTGAACTAAAGAGAGAGATTATCCACACTAAGGAATACCTTTTTGGGGAGGGATTTGCATTCCTTGGAATATACTTTGGGAAATACAAGTCAAGATGTATTTTTTATTCTAAGTCTTTCAGCTTCATTTTCTAAACTATGATTTTGGTTTTTATAATTCCTTTGATCTTCACTAGGAAGAATATTGAAGTAAAACCAAATTTTTCTTCTTATTAGTGTTATAGACATGATTACTTGCAAAGGAAAACAATTCATATAACTTCAACTTTTATAATTAACTTTATTTAAGTTTATTTTCTTGTTCCATTAGGGCTTCTATACTACCTAAAATAATTGATTTGTTTTTAAAAATCTTGTTATACCTATGAACTTTATTAAATACCAAGGCTTACCTTTTGGTATGACATGTCTAAAAAGATGAAATCTAAAACACTGTCCTGTGAGTGTCCCTAATCCCTTATTGCCAAATTATTTGAAATCTCAAAATCTATGCTAATATATATGTCAATTTTAGGGTTATATTGAAATGATATACCTTTTCCTAACCATTTTCCTTTCTATAGTTTTTATATAGCTCATGGATTATGTTTTTCACTTTTTATGTTGGTTTTGCAATTGAAACCATTCTTCTCTATGTAAAAAAAGGTTTCTTTTGAAATATCAAATAATTAATGTGATTTAAATGTTTTATTCTGATGATTTCATTTTCAGGCATTCTTTCAGTGAATAGTCTATATACCATTTACTTTTGAATGCATACATGTAACATTTGATTTAGTATCTAACTTTTCATTAGGTGTGCCCTATATTGACAGTCATGCGTTTTACTATTTGAACCTTGGTATATTTAATAAAAAGATCTGTCATTGAAATTATCTTCCAATATAAGTACACCTAATTTCATTCCACTTTTTCCCTTTATTCTCATACGTTTAAAATTATTTGTAAGAATTTTAAGCAAGAGTTATTTTTATTTAAGGAATAATGCTAGTTGAATAATGATACTGTTATAGGTCATGGAAAATTTATGAAAGGCATTTTTTTTGCTTCCTGATTTTAAGTAGTATATCTTTAATTTGACCAATTATTATTTTATATTTTTTATCTTAGTTTATTCTTTTATTTCATTTCATTTATTGTTTTTCTGTTTTCTTTTTTCTAGCTTGTGATGAATGGAAAATATTACCAAAACCAAATCTTCATAGAGATGTCAACAGATTTGGACATTCTGCAGTAGTCATTAATGGGTAAAAGAAGTACATTTACAATTTTTAAAGGATCAATTATAATATCCTCATAGTCTGGTATTGTTTTTGAAAATTGTCATTGGTACTTAATAGCATTGGATTTTATATATTATCCATGCTGTGGTTCATTAGTCATATTCTTCATTCTTTTTTGTTTCATAGAGGTAGGGTGTAGTCAAAGAAAATGTGCGGAGAGATAAAAACTTCAGATACCCTTTTAAGTAATACTGCCTTCTTTCTCCTTCCAGAATTCAGACAAGGAATGACTCTTCTTTTAAAAATATCAAGTTGAAATGATAGGATAGCTCCGTATTTCTATCAAGGAGAACAAGGAAAGTAGGAAGAATTAGGTTCTCATTTTGGTTTTGTCATTAACTAAATGTGTGATTTTTGACAAGTCTCTTAATCTCTCTGGACTTTAATATTCTTATATCCATTGGGAAATTGGACTTGATCATTAAGTTACCTTCCCCCTTTAAGTTAATATAGTTTTTCTATTTCTATAGCAAAAATTTAGCAATTTGGACGCAAGTGACAATAAATAATATGCTAGCTAATTTATTTACTTAAAATTTGTAATGCAGAATGATCTTTTAACACCTTATCCTAATTATGTAAAATTTTTCTACTATTATCACAAAATGTTTTAACTGCAATGAAACTGTGTAACACATGTCAATTGGCTGTTAAAATATAATAAATAACGTTTAATGTGAAACATAAAACCTCTATTTGGTTGAGTTTCATTTTACTTTTTTAAATGATAAAAGACATTCTTGAGGCATTTTTCTGACCTTTTCCACTTATTATATTAATAATATTTCTAGAAACAAAAATTATGCTGTTCTGAAGGTGTCTCAAACTTCTTTAGCACTGGTTAGCATTAATTTAGTATTGTCTAAGGCTTCTCTTTCAAATTGAAATTTTGAAAATCTTTTTGATTGTTTTACTCTTGGTCTTATTCTCTTAAAAGAGTAAAATACAGTAAGACTTCTGTGTCTAATTTTTAAATTCTATGTCTATATTAAAAAATTATAATTCTAGATAGCATTTCTAAAATATATCGTATTATCTATGTGTAGCTGTTATCTATTTTTTAAAACGTTGTTTCCTACCTTATTAAAACAGTAGTTATTTTTCTAATCAAGGGAATGTTGTATGTAATCCTTGTTCCTTTTCCTTTCTTACATTAGCACTAAAATAGGGGTTTTGAAGACTCAATGTTTTCTTAATGCACGAAGATTTAAAGAATATTTCACATTTTATCTACAAAGTCTCTTATAAATCTTATAACAATTCATTTGATGTTTTCACATCATATTGTATGTTAGAAATATGATTTTAAATAACAGTAGTGATATGTATTTTAAAATAATATAAAATATATACTTAAATTTATATTTATTTTAAAAATTAATTCATTGCACAGAGACTTTTAATATTGTTTCTTTAAGATTCTTGTTTTGTTTTTCACAGGTCCATGTATATATTTGGGGGATTTTCTAGTGTCCTCCTTAATGATATACTTGTATACAAGCCTCCAAATTGCAAAGCATTCAGAGATGAAGAACTTTGTAAAAATGCTGGTCCAGGGATAAAATGTGTTTGGAATAAAAATCACTGTGAATCTTGGGAATCAGGGAATACTAATAATATTCTTAGAGCAAAGTGCCCTCCTCAAATAGGTAAGGTTTTTTACTTTTCCCTCTTTTGGGTGGCAAAATTTCTCTATTACAGAAATAAAAATATCTTCTACTTATAAGAATTACCTTAGTAGCTTCAGAAATGAAAAATTTATAATACTATAATTAGGAATTCTAATGTTAAAACTTATAAATTATTAAAAATTTAATATCTTCATTAACTATTTTTAGTTTTATTTTTGAAATCTATACATGCTATATATAAATATTTTATATGTAACTTGGTCATATATATGAATTATTTTATAAGTCAAAAATACTTTCAAATACATCAGTTCCAAGAAATATTTTATACTTCAAAGAAATAAAACGAGATAATTTATTTTGCATTTGTTATTTTTTCTTCCTGAATTATTGCCAAGCCATACCATAAAGTTAAAAAATCTTCTAGAATTTGATAACCAATGTTCTAATTTTATATTCTTTATAGAATGGTGAATAAAGAAATCAAACCTCTGAAAAATTACAGTTAATAATTAATTAATTTATGATTTGGATAAAAGTTATTAACTTTTCTTTAAATGGGTGAAGATTTTCATATATTTTTGATGCTACAATTAATAAATGTATTTTCAGGTTTTGTTTTTATATATTAACTCACATGTCTCTAAATAGCTTCATAAAGAGTGATAAACAATTAGCTCTATGATGTTTTCTTTGGGATGTAGAGTAGTATATTTTGCTCAGTAAAGTATGTATAAGTCTTTTTCCCCTCGCTAAATGTGTAAATTTAAAATGGCTATAGGATATTTGTGGATTGAATAATGAAGACAGGGGTAAAAGATATCTAAAATCCTGTAAACACAATTAAACTACAAAGTTGACTTTATATTGGAGAACTTATTTTGATATGGAAGGTAATTTTATTTTTTGCTTAAAAAATTTTTTAGTGGTTCTTAAATAGATATTTATAAAGGTGTGAATTAAGAAGTGTTACATTTTTTATTCCTGGTATATTCTATCTCCCATTTGTATTATAGCTGCTACTGATGACAGATGTTACAGATATGCAGATTGTGCCAGCTGTACTGCCAACACAAATGGGTGCCAGTGGTGTGATGACAAGAAATGCATTTCGGCAAACAGTAACTGCAGTATGGTTAGTATTTATGGGTAAATGGTGATGTAGTTGGCACTGCTGCTTTATAGCATTAGCTTATTGTTTAACAGCACTGTATAAAAAAGTACTTTACACATTAAGACATTTAGAAAATATGTAGGGAATCATTCACTTCTTGGTAAATTTTAACGTCAGACTGTAGCTTTTGCTTGAATTTGTCAGTTTATATTCCATTTTGAATCCAGTAACTTTTACTTCTTTTCATGAATGAGACTAGAAAAATCTTTCCAGAACTGATTTAAAAAAAGACTATAGGTATAAACATTGTCTTTAGTAGTGATAGCAGTAGGATTATATAGATAGGTATTGGAATAATTTCCACTGGATTCCAGTTACACGTGCATTAATGGTGATATGGTCTAGTGTTTTATTTACATACTGTGTATGTAAGTTTAACCTGAGATTAGTAGTGGTTTCCGTTTTAACTGTCTTTATATTAGTGACTCTAAACTGGAAACAGTTTTGTCCCACAGGGGATATTTGGCAAAGTGTGGAGATATTTTTGTCTGTCACAACTATGGGGCTGCTGTTGGTTTCTAGTTAGTAGAGGCCACGGATACTGCTAAACATTCTACAATGCATGGAACAGCCTTTTTACAACACATAATTATCTGGTTCAAAATGTCAATAGTACTTTAGATGAAGAAGGACTATTGAAAAATTGTTAAATTAATATTTATGGTAGATGAAAATGAATTAAGAGCATCAAAAATTAAGATTTTAAATGAGTGGCACCAAGACATTCCATGTTTTTTAGATGTCAACAAATTTAAATGAAAAAATTTTTAAGTAGTTAATAGGATTAAAGATTCTCTTATGGAGTTATAGGTTAAATAAACTAAATGTGCATATAGTTGCATATAGATTTTTAACTCAATATAATTTATATTAATTTTTCTTTTTATGAATTTTTATTAATAATAAAATTACTTGTTTTTTAAGATAGCAGGCAGAGGTAGAAGGTAAAGAAAAGAGAATTTGAAACTAAGTACAAATTTTGATTATATCATCTAAAATCTTTCTCCACTAAACAATATTTCAAAATATTTAAATTTTGTGATTCTAATCTAAATAATATTCAAAACTTAAAATGGAGGAAAATTTACAGTTATTGACTAATTAGATGGAACCATCTTGCTTTCATACATATTCTGTTAGTTTATACTTTCCAGTGATATAAGTTGCTCTAATAACAAGATATACTTCAATTTTATAACAATTTTAACATTTATATAACATGACTATGCTTTGAAAATGTAATTACATTTTAATATTTGCATTAATATTCATTTAATGGGAATTATTTAGTGGCAATGGGAGTTAAATAAATAAAATAAGACATGGGAATCAGGACTTTTATTAGGATTCTTCAGAGAAGCAGAACCAGTAGGCTGTGTATGTATGTGTGTGTATGTGTATATGTGTGTGTGTATACATGAAATTTATTATAAGGAATGGGCTCATGTGACTATGAAGGCTGAAAAGTCCCATGATCTGCCATCTGCAAACTACAGACCCAGGAAAGCTAGCTATATATGTAAATTCCACTCCAAGTATGGAGAGCTAAGAACCAGGAGCACAGATAGTATAAGTTCCAGTGCAAGAGCAAGAAAAGACTGATGTCTCAGCTCAAGCAGTCAGGCAGAGAGAGGAAATTATTCATTCTTCTGCTTTTTTTGTTCTTTCAGTCCTTCAATAGATTGGCTGATGCCCACCCACAATGGGGAGATCATTCTGCTCTACTCAGTTTATCAATTCAAATACTGATTTCATATAGAAACACCCTCACAGATATACCCAGAAATAATGCTCAGCTGAATATTGAGTACATGTCCCAGTCAAGTTGACACATAAAATTAGCCATCACAAGTCCACTACTGGTCAATTTGGCACCCATACATATCTCCATAAATCATACTTAATCTATAAATAAAGATAATAACAATGTCATAATCCCACCTTAACATAATACAGCTTTCCTCTGTACAACTGAAAATACAGCATTTCCTTTCCCAGAAAAGTAGGTAAAGTCCTGAGTGATGTTTATTCCTCTCCTTGATATCCTCTAACTTAAACACTATGATGTAAAATTAACAGTGCTTAAATCCTCATATAATGTCAGTACATTTTATGTTACATGACAAGGGAATAAGAGAGGAAAGAAAACAGTATTTCACATACACACACACACATACACTCACACACACACACATATGCACACACACAGATGTATTCATATGAAAATGAGTAGGAAATACCCCTGACAATAACAGTCCTCATTTCTGTAACTAATCATGTGGTTGTAGCTAGTATTTATAACTACTTTCATAACCGAATAATTCTGAATTTGCTTTACCTTCAGGAAGCACAGTAGCTGCTTTGGGTTCTTTACCTGGTTGGGTGACTCAAACCTTTATTCTGGAAGGGTCTGGAACATTAGTAGTCCTTCCTAAATTGGGTTGTTATAGTTAATCACAGGTGATGGTAATACTAAGAGATGCCCTAAGGTATCTCTTATATTCCAGACATGCTGTTCCTTACCTCCCTTATGGAGTGGCAGTTAAATTTTCCTGTAATAGTCAGGTTCAATCACCCAAGCCTGCATAGTAACTCCCTTCTTTGCCTGTTGATTTAGAGACATAAGGAGCCCAAAATGGCAGAGTGACAGTTCTTAACTTCCAGTTCAGTGGAATCAGTATTGTGTTTCCTGGCAAAAGCATTCCTCCCTCTGGAACTAAAACATCTAGGCTAGTAGAGAATAAGGTCACAGAAACAGGAAGAAATATTTTGCTAGTGGGCGACTAGGGGTAATAGTGAGTGGTGCTACTTCCATTTCCATCCCTTGATTCCTGGACCCCAAATACTGGCTAATAGAGAAAGAACACCATATATTGAATGCTGTTCAGAGCACATATATCCTTTTGGAGGACTTTCTCCCAGACCCTGCAAGGTATTACCACATAGCTGAAACTGAAACTGAATCTTTAAGAGATCATTCCATTGTTTGGTCAAACCAATTGGCTCAGGATTATGGGCATATGATAAAACCAGAGAGCATGGTTCCATTGCTGCACTTCACTTGCTGTGAAGTTAGTTCCTTTGTCAGAATCAATGCTATGTGGAATACCACAATGGTGGATAAGGCATTTTGTAAGTCTACAGATGGTAGTTTTGGCAGAAGCATTGCATGCAAGGAAGGCAAATCTTTATCCAGAATAAGTGTCTATTCCAGTAAGAACAAAATGCTGCCCCTCATTGATAGAAGCTATCCAATGTAATCAACCTGCTACCAGGTAGCTGGCTGATCAGCCAGGATAATGGTACCATATTGGGAGCATAGTGTCAATCTCTGCTACTGGAAGATTAGTCACTCAGCAGTGGTTGTAGCCAAGTTGGCTTTGGTGGGTAGAAGCACGTTTTACTGAGCCTATGCATAACCTCCATGCTTGCTGCCATGGCCACATTGTCCTTGTGCTTATTAGATGATGACAGGGCTGGCTGGGGAAAGAGGCTGACTGATATTCACAAAACTGGTCATCTTTCTTGATTATTAAAATCTCCTTTGCTGATGTCACCTTTTGCTGTACCTTTACATGGGACACAAATATCTTCTCTCTTTTGACATTCAGAGAGGTCTGTCTACATACCTTTTCCACATATTTTCTTGTCATCAATTTTCCAATCATGTTTCTTCCATCTCTGACCATCCAGACAAACCATTGGCCACAGCCCATGAATCTGTGTGTAATGACATATATGGCCGTATCTCCTTTCAAGCAAAGTGAACAACGAGGTGTACTGTTCAAAGGTCTGCTCACAGGAAGGATTTTCCTTCATGACTTGTCCTTTAGGGATGTCCCAGAAAGGGGCGGTAGTGCTTCAGCTGTCTACTTTTGGGTTGTGCCTGCATATTGTGTAGAACCATCTGTAAACCAGGCCAGTGTCTTCTCTTCCTCTTTCTAAGGAACTCCCCAGGAAGCCATAGATGCAGAGAAAGAGGGCAGGGTAACAGGAGTGAGTATCCTGGGCATTTGTGCTACTTCTTCATGTAACTTTCTAGTGCCTTCAGAGCCTACTGGGGCCTGATCACATATATACCATTTCCATTTTATGGTGGAGTACTGCTGTGCACACCCAACTTTATGGCTTGGTGGGTCAGATAACACCAAGGTCATGATGGGCAGCTTAGTTCCTATGGTAATTCAGTGGCCCATGGTTAAACCTTCAGTCTCTACTAAGACCCAGTAGAAGGCTGTTTCTCAAAAAGAGTATAATTATCTGCAGAGGATGGCAGTATTTTGCTATAAAATCCTAAGGGCCTATTGCCCGTGGAGTACTGCCAAAAGTTGCAAACAGCATCCTGTCTGCTACTGATATTTCAAGCAATGTTGGATTTGCTGGATCATGTGGGCCAAGTGGTAGAGCAGCTTGCACAGAAGCCTGGACCTGTTGCAGAGCTTTCTGTTATTCTGTGCTCTGCTTGAAATTAACAGCTTTTTGGGTCACTAGGAGTGAATAGGCCACTGTAACACACAGATGAGGATTATGTTGCCTGCAACATTCAAAGAGGCACATTAGGTATTGTGCCTCATTTTTGGTTGTAGGAGGGGCCAGATGCACCACCTTTGAAGGGATGTCTTGACATGCTTCGCACCACTATACCCCTAAATATTTCACTGAGGTGGAAGGCTCCTGAATTTTAGTAGAAATTCTCTCACCCTTTACCATAAAAATGTCTTACCAATAAGTCTAGAATAGTTGCCATTTCTTGCTCAGTAGATCCACTAAGTATAATGTTATCAATATGATGGATCAGTGTAATATCTTGTGAAAGGGAAAGGCAATCAAATCCTTGATAACTAAATTAATTATGGCATAGCGCTGGAGAGTTGATAGGCCCCTAAGGTAGAACAGTGAAGGTGTATTGATAGAATTGCCAGCTGAAAACAAACTGCTTCTGGTGGTCTTTACTAACAGGT